TGAGTTAAACTTTATTGTAGGTATGTACGTATAGAACAAATCGTAGTATTAGGGTTCGTTACTATGTGTGGTTTCCAGAAAGCACTATACTTATGAACAGCAAAAAGGATACAAATGAAGAAACCCACAGGGTGAGGTCTGGGAGGATCCCCAACGTGAAGCTTCCATGTCCCAAAAAAGGGACGTGTCACCCTCTCAAGGATTGATGTCTTTCACCAACCAGGAAGCTCATAGAGATCCAGTGTCCAGAGCTTTTATATTGGGGTTCCATTATGAAGACACAGTGGATTGAATTCTTGCCCACATGGTTGAACTCAGCCTCCAGCCCTCCTTCCCTGAGGCTGATGTCGTATCTTTCTGGCCTGACCAGTCCATTCCTAAAAGTCACCTCATTAGCATAAATCCTCACCTCTGGAGCCTTTTTAGATAATGAAGTCACTTCAGTCACTGGAGAAATTCCAAGGTTCTGGACGTTACCTTTCAGAAACCAAGGACAAATACCAAATTCTTTGGGTGAAGTTAATTTTAAACCCCGTACTACAACAACATCCTAGTGGATGTGAAGTAGTATCTCATTGTGGTTTTGATTTGCATTCCCCTGATGGCTAATGATGGTGTGCATCTTTTGATGTGCTTGTTGACCATTTGTATATCTTTGAAGAACTGTTTATTCAAGTTCTTCGCCCATTTTTTAATTGGGTTGTTTGTCTTTTTGTTGTAGAAATTCTGTATATATTCTGGGTATTAAACCCTTACCAGGTATATAAACCAAGAGATTTTAAAAACATTAATTCATTTAGAAATAATGATAATAAATTTATTACATGTTAACGTACGTGATAGGTATTTTGTTTTTAAAAACCTGTATTCCCCCCACCACCACCACAAAGAAAAATTAGCAGGAGGAGTACCATTGTTTTATGCTTTTGCACATCTTTTTAATGTCTGCATTCAGTTTATTGTGATACGTTACCTTAGTTTATACATATTATTAACTCTGCCTGGAATGTGCTCCCTGATTTTATCTACTCATTCTCCAGTCCAACTCAAACATCACCACCTTTGATGACCCCTGCCCCCCATGTACATATGTAGAGTTGATTCCACCTTCCTTTGTGCCCTGCTTTGCCTCTTAATACCTGCTTGTTATGTTACTCTTAACCAAAAGGTAGGCACTTTGAATCCACCAGCTGCTCTTTGGAAACCCTATGGGGCAATTCTACTCTGTCCTGTAGGGTCGCTATGAGTTGGAATCGACTCGACGGCAACGGGTTTGGTTTGATGTGGTTTTGCTGTATTACTGTCTAGGTGTTAGGTACTTGAGGACAGTGATAGTGGCTTATCTGGTTTTCAGTATTTACTTACTGATACTTCCTGGGTGCTCAGTAAATACTTCCTGAATGGACGAGTGATTACTTTTTTATATGCAGTGTCATTTCATCCATTATCCAAATGACTGATTTTTCAGTTGCACTAATATCACTAGATTTTATAACTTTTGAAAGTTTTGTAGCTTCAGAAATATTAGTATCTTCAATTTTTCAGTTTGGTAACTTTTACTGTTACACATTCAAACATTATATTGCATAAGTAGTATGTAAAATATAGCTGGTTTTATTCCTTCCAGGGAAGATGTTTTTGTTAGTGTATGAATTTATATGTATTTTTTTTATTGCACACACTTAAATTTGCTTGACTGAGGGGTGTTTCACAATTATGTAAGGATTATGGGAGAAGCGCTTTGACAGAAAATGGAATAGACCATAGCCCACTCAGCAGATCTGCCACAAATAAACTTAAAAAATAGGTTTACTATTCAAAATTGGTTTACTAATTTTTTAAATATGTGATTTATACCAACAGTTGACAAACACAGAAATATGATTAAGTATACATGCCAAGGAAAATATACATGATTGGAAAACTATATTGGAGCTGTTAGTCCTGTGTAATATCATTTAATGAGTTGAGCAGCATTTCTTACTTTATGATTAAAACCTCTCTTTGTATTGTTATTGTTCAGTTAATATATGAGCCTGTCTGGAGTACTTCCCGGAAAAATGCTGTATGGTCTGTATCCACCCTCCTGGGGAAGATTCTCAAACTTTATGCACATAAGAATGATCTAAGGTACTTGTGGTGTGGATTCCTGAGCCTGCTTCCAGATAGCCATATACCATGTTTTGTCTTCCAAGTCATGTCAGGTTTTATAGCTGAAAAGAAATTTTGCAGATCTAATTTTTTGAGGCGTTAGAATATAAGGAGGAAACTAGGGCCAAAAATACTAATAACATTTTCAGTGTTCTGCATCCTACTTTGGTGAGTGGCGTCTGGGGTCTTAAAAGCTAGCGAGCGGCCACCTAAGATGCATCAATTGATCCCAACCTATCTGGAGCAAAGGAGAATGAAGAACACCGAAGACACAGGAAAATATTAGCCTAAGAGACAGAAAGGGCCACATAAACCAGAGACTCCATCAGCCTGAGACCAGAAGAACTAGATGGTGCCTGGCTACCACCAGTGACTGCCCTGACAGGGAACACAACAGAGAGTCCCTGACAGCAGGAGAAGAGTAGGGTGCAAAACTCAAATTCAATTAAAAAGACCAGACTCAGTGGTTGACTGAGACTGGAGGGACCCCAGAAGACATGGCCCCTGGACTCTGTTAGCCCAGAACTGAAACCATTCCTGAAGCCAACTCTTCAGACAAAGACTAGACTGGACTATGGGACATAAAATGATACTTGTGATGAGTGTGCTTCTTAGCTCAAGTAGATACATGAGACTAAATGGGCACCTCCTGTCTGGAGGCAAGATGAGAAGGCAAAAAGGGACAGGAGCTGGTTGAATGGACATGGGAAATTCTGGGTGGAAAGGAGGAGTGTGCTGTCGCATTAGAGGAGAGCAGCTAGGGTCACGTAGCAATGTGTATATGAATTATTGTATGAGAAACCGACTTGAACTGTAAACTTTCACTTAAAGTACCATTTAAAAAAAAATCATATTAAGCCAATAATAGAAAAAAACTAATAACATTTTCAGATCTCAAAGCTAGTTAATGGACTAACAGAGTCATTAAAACCTACTGTGTAGCCCATGTTCCATCCGTAGGCCTTTTTTGACTTAAAAGATAAGGTTGGTCATGGAATAGTTTTTATTTTATTCTTTTTAGAACAAGAGTTAAGTCACAGTAAAATCTTTAGTATGAACCTAAAAAAAAACCTGTTCCCGTTGAGTTGATTTCAATTTCTAGCAACCCTATAGGACAGAGTAGAACTGCCCCATAGGGTTACCTAGGCTGTAATCTTTACAGAAGCAAAGTGCCACATCTTTCTCCTGTGGAACTGGCTGGTGGGTTTAAACCAACGACCTTTTGTCAACCACCGAGCGCTTAACCACTACGCCGCCTGGGCTTCAGTATAAACCTAGGGATGCTAAAGTTGTAAGGTATTTCTGTCTTCTAATTCTTTTCTCAGTCCCAACTGTTTTCAAAGACTCTTGAAAGTTTTTTTTCTGTTTAAGAAAGGTTTGACTTTGAGGGTAACCTCAATATAATGAGGTCATCAAAGACTTAAAATTGCTTGAAGGAAATGAAGTCAGCTTCTTAGATATAACCAACTACCTCGTGGGACTGAGGTACTGGGATTGAAGGCTAAGGACTGTGGTCTTGGGGGACATCTAGGTCAATTGGCGTAACATAGTTCATAATGATAATGTTTTGCATCCTACTGTGGTGATTAGCATCTGGGGCCTAAAAAGCTAGCAAGCAACCATCTAAGATACAACTATTGGTCTCTTCTTCTCTGGAGCAAAGGAGAGTGAAGAAAACCAAAGACTCAGGAAGCAGTTAGTCCAAAAGACTGATGGCCCTCAGCCTCCGGTAGACTGAGATCAGAAGAACTAGATGGTGCCAGCTACCACTACTGACCACTCTGATCAGGAACACATTAGAAGGTCCCAGTTAGAGTGGGAGAAAAATGTAGAAAAAAAATAATCCAAATTCATAAAAAAGACAAGACATATTGGTCTGACAGAGACCAGAGGAGCCACCAAGACTCCTAGACAGATGCCCTTTAAAAAAAAAAGAGAGAGATTAAGACACACCTTGTGCTGATACTGCCTTATTAACATAACAAATGGGATTATAACCACAGGTATAAAAAGAAATTAAACCCGTTGCTGTCAAGTCGATTCCGACTCATAATGACCCTATAGGACAGAGTAGAACTGCCCTGTAAGGTTTCCAAGGAGCAGCTGGTAGATTTGAACTGCTGACCTTTTGGTTAACAGTCATATTACTTAACCACTGCACCACCAGGGCTCTGACCACAGGTATAGGGGTTAGGATTTACAACACATATTTTTAGGGGGCCCAGTTCAATCCATAACATTAGATTTGCTGTAGAATTCTGGTAGATAACCTTTATCAAGTTAAAGAAGTTTATTCTATTTCTTACTAACTATTCCTACCAAAAACTAGTAGCTTTGTTATTTTGGAATGAGAATTGAGTTTTATCACTTTTTTCCAACATGAGTTAGATGATCAGATGATATTGCTTCTTTAATTTTTCTCTTAATTTGTAAATTATAATAATTTATTAGTATTGTACAATCCTTGCATTGGGGTAAACACAATTTGATATTGGTATACTTCTTAGTTTGCTAATATTTAAGAGTTTTACTTCAGTGTTCATAGGTGGGATAGGATCATAGCTTTTTGTATATGTAGTAGTATGTTGTGATCAAAACTGACCAACTTTTTAAAGAAAAATTCAAACTTAACAAAACAGCACATATATTCCAAAATCAGAATAAACCTATGTCAATAACAACAGCTTTGGAATGTTTTGTGAAGAGAAAACCTGAGAGCTCCTAAAAACAGTTTAAATAGAAAGTTTTATTTCCAGGGATGTGATAAAAATTTTGTACTCTGTTAATCCCTTCTCTTTTTATATGTTACTCTTTACAGTTCTCTTATTGTGAATTTTATTTCTCTGTAGGTACGCATAGCTGCTAAATTCATCACTCATGCACCTCCAGGAGAATTTAATGAAGTGTTTAATGGTGAGTAAAGATTAGCATTTTGTTATTTTAAGCCCTCTTTAATCATTGTCATTTATTCAGTGCTTGCCATCTCCTAATCCTTACAACTAAAATAATAGCTATAGCTGAGGAAATCAAGATTCAAAGAGGTTAAAATAACTTTTCCAAGGTGTCACACAGCTAGTGAGTGTCAGAGCAAGGATTCAAACCTAGGTCTGAGTTAAAAGCATGCTCTTAACCCGTAAATTAGGATACCTATCATATGTGAGAAAATATTTAAGGTAGTTTAATACCAATAAATAAGAAAATGCAAGGTTGTTGATTATCAGTAAATGTAAAAACAATATTTCAGTGTAACAGTATTATCTTGTTTTCATAATTCTGTATTTATCATTATAAATCACAGCTTAAATTTCTTCAGTGTTTTCACTCAGGATATGCCATAGTATAAATCACTCTCTAGGGCCATCGGGGAGTCCCTGGGTGGTGCAAACAGTTAACGGGCTCAGCTGCTAACTGAAAGGTTAGAGGGTCAGGTCTACCTGGAGGTGCATTAGAAGACAGTCCTAGCAGTCTACAAGTCCAGATCATCTTGACATCAACTGGTTTTAGGGCTATTGGGGCTAAACTGACTGCATCATCATAATGTGGGAAGCTTGTTAAATATACAGATTCCAATGTTATCATCCCCTCAAGGCTCTCGTTAATTAAATCTGGAGTGGAACTAGGTAATCATTGTTTTATCAAGTTCTCCCAGGTGATTCTGAATCACAGCCAGTTTGAGAATCACTACTCCAGTACATTTACAATCTTCCATACTACTCACTGTCTCAGTACAATTTACAGGCTGAAAAATGTGGATGGGGCATCTTGAACTTAGTGATGAGATAAATCATTATAGCCCCATTTTAAGTCATCAAATTAATTCATCTTAAAGCTCCCCTTAATTAAAAATCATAATCTTTGTGCATCTTGATTCAGTTTAACCAGTTGCTCTTGGGTCAAACATTCATTTTGAAATTGTCATTTTACAGTAGGTTAGCTGCTTGTCAGGAACTGACATTTATCTGTGCCTGGCCCAGTGCCCCATACATGTAGAACAGTCAGTAATCTCCACTGATAAAATTAATGATGCAGAGGAAGAAGTAACCAAGAGAAACATTAGAACATCTACAACGAGTAAATTGGATAATATAATAGAAGTAAATCAAGGCATTCTTCTTTATGGAATTGCTGGTGGATTTTGAGAACTAATAGCAAGTTACACAAATGCAGTATTTCTTTCCCTAGTCTTTCTTCCATATTCACCAAACATAAATTTTCAGCAACTGCTCTTAGGAAATTCTACTTAAACTCGAACTTTATCCAACTGATTAGCTCAGGTTAAATTCTCGATTTAACAGAATTAACTTCCTTTGTAGTTAGGAGTCTCTTGTTTTCTTTCTCACAACTGAATTTACTTAATAGGAGTATCTTAAGAATAATTAATACCAAAGCATGAGATTAGGAATTGGCAGGCTACTTGTGGAATGACAGCTGGGTTTTATTGGCATGTTAGACATTTGTCACTGCCAGGCCCTTCTAGAGAGTCAATGGCCTTTGGTTTGTAATTACCCTTCCCTCTTAGAGTTAATGCTTGGTAGCTTCTCCTCTTCCAAAGTAAAGGTAATTAGACTCATGACACACAGTTTTTTAAGAAACTTACAGACCCCTACACTAGATTCTCCAAAGAAAAATGTGTTCAGCAATTTTTGACGCTTTCTTGGTCTAATGTTGTAGAAAAGCTTGTAGTTCTTAATCTATGCTAATTTTACTTTAGTTACAAAATTAACAACCCTAACATTGTGTAAACTCTTATTCATTTGCTATGAAATTTCTTGAGAATTTAATGATTGTTACAGCATAATAATTAAATGCTAATACGTGTTCACTTGCATTTTTAGAATTTCTGCACATACAATATATGCAAAGACTAATCTTGCAAAGCTTGATTTAGAAAAATCCAGTTTAGAAGTGTGCTAAAATTTCTCAAATTTGTCCTCTTCTGAACCTTTTAACATCTTTTAATGTCGTTTTTCCTCCTCAGATGTCCGACTACTACTTAATAATGACAATCTTCTCAGGGAAGGGGCAGCACAGTAAGTACCTGTCTAAATTCACTCAGATTTTATTCTAATGTGCGATGAACTATGTTGACAGTAAACTAGTACCTTAACAACTAGATTTAAAATACTTAAAGTAAAGCAGTTGTTTTTAGCAGTTTTAGTTGTTTTTTTCTTAGAGGAAACATGTCCCCCCCCCAAAAAAAATTCTACTTACTTCCTCAAAACTTATTATATATGATCTTATTTATTTTTATTTCTGCCCAAGTATTCCCCATTTATGTGAGAAGAGCTTAATGTTAGCTATTATATTTTCTTTTAGTTCATGTTGAATTAAAAAAAAATTTTTTTAGTTATACAAAGATTCGGCTGCAATTGAGAAATGATAATGTGTCTCAAATTGCCAAAGAATAGTAGTTTCATGAAGTACCTTAATAGTTGGGTTAACTATAGGATAAAAGCATGATTATTCTACCCAGTTATTTATTCTTTATCACTGTCAGGCTGATTAATCTTTCTAAAATATCATTTTCATTTTGTCCTTGCCCTCAAAAACATTATGGTGATTCTGTTTTTGGCTTCTTCAAGTCTAAACACTGTCTGACTTTCAAAGCTCCCCGTTATCTGTTATCTCTACCTCCCCAATTATATTTCTTTCTACCCTTCAACACAGAGTTCTGTATTAGTTACCATCTACCATATTGGCCCAGAGTTCCTTTGTAAAGAGGAAACTAGAAATAGATAATTGTTGGGGAGGAGGAGTAGAAAGAAGAGACAAGGACATCTTAAAACTGAGCAACAAAAATTATCATAAAGATATTTCGTATGACACATAATTGATTTAGATTTCCGCTATAGAAAACTATTATAAGAGCTGCTGCCTGGGAAACAATCATCTTTTGCTGCTTTTTTCAGAACTCATTATGAGACTAGATTCTATAAACCTAGAACTCAAATAGCATTGCTGTAACTTTCATCAGGAATAATGCCCTAATTATATATTAATTTAGGAAGGCGGGGCACACACTAAAGATACACTCTAATAATGGTTTCTCTATGTGCCATAGAGGGCACGGTGGTTCAGTGGTAGAATTCTTGTTTTCCCTGCAGGAGATTGGGGTTTGATTACCAGCTGTCTTAGTCATCTAGTGCTGCTGTAACAGAAATACAGCAAGCGGATGGCTTTAACAAAGAGAAATTTATTTTCTCACAGTTTAGTAGGCTACAAGTCCAGATTTAGGGCATCATCTCCATGGGAAGTCTTTCTCCATCTGTCAGCTCTGGAGGAAGGTCCTTGTCATCAGTCTTCCCTTGGTCTGGGAGCTTCTCAGCGCAGGAACCTCCGGTCCAAAGGACACGCTCTGCTCCCGGTGCTGCTTTCTTGGTGGTATGAGGTCCCCCTGTCACTCTGCTCACTTCTCTCTTCTATATCTCAAAAGACATTGGCTCAAGACACAATCCAATTTTGTAGACTGAGTCCTGCCTTATTAACATAACTGCTGCCTATCCCACCTCATTAACATCGTAGAGGTAGGATTTACAACACATAGGAAAATCACATCAGATTACAAAATGGTGGACAGTCACACAGTACTGCGAATCATGGCCTAGCCAAATTGATACACATATTTTTGGAGGACAGAATTCAACCCACAACACCAGCTAATGCACCTCATACACAGCTACCACCCTTCTGTCAGTGGAGACTTGCATGTTGCTATGATGCTGAACAGGTTTCAGTGGACCCTTCACGGTTTTCCATGAGTCAGAGGCAGACTCGTCTGCATATTAACAACATCTGCCATAGGAGAGGACGTTTATGATTTGCTAGTTAAACTCCTCTCGACTTTCTGCCCTTCTATTGAAATAATCCCATCTACATGCTCTCAATAGACGGTTATCCAGTCTGCGTGCTTCTTTTTTTTGGAGGGTGGGGGGAGATTTTGTTTCATTTATTTAGGTCTTTTTGTGTGTATGTGCTTTAGGTGAAAGTTTACAGCTCAAGTTAATTTCTCATTCAAAAGTTTATACACACATTGTTCTTTAATATTGGTTGCAACCCCCAAAATGTGACAGCATGCTCCCCCTTCCCACCCCAGGTTCCCTGTGTCCATTTGTCCAATTCCTGCCTTCTCGTCCTGCCTTTGAACCAGGAGATGCCTATTTGGTCTTTTATATTTGATTGAACTGAGAAGCACGTTTCTCACGTGTATTAATTTTTTTCTTTTATAGGATTATCTAATCTTTGTCTAAAAATTGGGGTTTGGGAATGGTTTCAGTTCTGGGTTAGCAGAGCATCTGGGGGCCATAGTTCTGAGGGTTCCTCTAGACTCTGTCTGACCATTAAGTCTGGGCTTTTTACATAAATTTGAATTCTGTTCTACATTTTTCTCTTGCTCTGTCCGAGACTTTCTGTTGTGTTTTCCTTATCAGGGTGGTCATTTGTGATAGCCAGGCACCATTTAGTTCCTCTGATCTCAGGCTGGCGGAGTCTCTTGCTCATGTGGTCCTTTAGTCCTTTGGGCTAGTATTTTCCTTGTGTCTTTGGTTTTCTTCATTCTCCTTTGCACTGGGTGGGATGGGACCACTAGAGGTACCCTAGATGGCTACTCACAAGCTTTTAAGACCCCAGATGCTACTCGCCAAAATGGAATGTAGAACATTTTCTTTATATATTATGTTGGTTGACCTAGATGCCCCCCGAGACTATCATCCCCAGGCCCCAGCCCGAGGAAATGCTTCTTATAATAAGAGAATTCACTATCTCACAAGGCAGATTCTTCAGTTTGCCTGCCACATTGGTCCTAGTTTTATCCTTGGGAGCTACCTGAAATGGATCTACTCTATATAGAGTATATAAGGTCCTTGCTTGATAAGGTTCTGCTGGAGAGGTGGGAAATGTCAAGACCCAAGGGTGATTGCAACCTAAGCCTGTTGTCCCATTTCCAATTAAGAATGACTATAAGTTAGCAAGGAGCCCTAGTGGCGCAGTCGTTCAGCACTCGGCTACTCACCAAAAGGTCAGCGGTTCAAACCCACCAGCTCCTCTGTGGGAGAAAGAGGTGGCAGTCTGCTTCTGTAAAGATTACAGCCTTGGAAACCCTATGGGGCAGCTCTGCTCTGTCCTGTAGGGTCACTAAGAGGCCACAGCAGTGGGTTTGGTTTGGTTTATAAATTAGCATGTAGTACAGATGTTTCAGTTGCTTTAGTTACACTGGCGGTAATACTTTATATTTATAAATATTCTGGTTATTATAGACTCTGGGTTCTTGGAGAACCTTCTTGCTAAAGGAAAATTAATATCCTGGACCCAAATATTTGACTTTCTATCGGGATGAAGTCATTCTCTTCAGTTTTTTTTTTTCTATAATGAGATTCTTCTATCCTTTTGGCCATAGTCCTCATAGTAAGCACTCAGTCAGTGTTAAGTTTCAGTAATCATCATCCTCATCTTTATTACCTTTTTTTGTTTGTTTGTTTACTGTTGTAGTTTAAATGAAGTTTACCTTTTAAATTAGTCTCCCATACAAAAATTTATACACACACCGTTATGTGACCCTAATTACTCTCCGCATACTGTGACAGCACACTCCTTCTTTCCACCCCTGATTCCCTGTGTCCATTCAACCACCTCCTAGCCCTCTCTGCCTTACCATCTCACCTCCGGACAGAAGCTTCCCGTTTTGTCTCTTGTATCTACTTGAGTAAGAGGCACATTCCTCACGAGTATAACTTTATGTCCCACAGTCTAGTCCAATCCTTGTCTGAAAAGTTGGCCTCGGAAATTGTTTTAGTTCTGAGGTAATAGAGAATCCAGGGGCCATGCTTTCTGGGGTTCCTTCAGTCTCATTCAGACCATTAAGTCTGCTCTTCTTACTAGAATTTGAGTTCTGCACCCTACTTTTCTCCTGCTCCATCAGGGACTCTCTGTTGTGTTCCCTGTCAGGGCGGTCATCGGTGGTACGTGGGCACCGTCTAGTTCTTCTGGTCTCAGGCTGATGAAGTTTGTGGCTTATGTGGCCCCTTCTGTCTCTTGGGCCAATACTCTCCTTGTGTCTTTGGTGTTCTTCACTCTCTTTTACTCCAGGTGGTTGGGACCAGTTGATGCATTTTAGATGGCCACTCACTAGCTTTTAAGACACCAGACGCCACTCACCAAAGTAGGATGCAGAACATTTTCTTAATAAGTTTTGTTATGCCAGTTGACCTAGATGTCCCCTGAAAGCATGGTCCCCAAACCCCTACCCTTGCTACTCTGTCCCTCAAAGTGTTTGATTGTATTCAGGAAACTTCTTCGCTTTGGTTTAGTCCAGTTGTGCTGACTTCCCCTATAGTGTGTGCTGTCCTTCCCTTCACCTAAGATAATTCTTATCTACTATCTAGTTAGTAAATAACCCTCCTTCTCCCTACCCACCCTCCTTACCATGAAAGAATGTTTTCTTCTGTGTTTAAAACTTTTCTTGAGTTCTTATAATAGTGGTCTTATACAATATTTGTCCTTCTGTAACTGACTAACTTCACTCAGCATAATGCCCTCCAGATTCCTCCATGTTATAAGATGTTTCACAGCTTCATTGTTGTTCTTTATCACTGCGTACTATTCCATTGTGTGGATATACCATAATTTGTTTATCCATTCATCCGTTGATGGGCACCTAGGTTGTTTCCATCTTTTTGCTATTGTGAACAGTGCTGCAGTGAACATGGGTGTGCATATAT